ACAGTGGAAAAAAAGAGAATTATAGTATTTGAAAGGAAACATAACCTGGGTTGCCTTTTTGTCCCTTCTTTGAACCTTTTTAATTCTAAAGTACTAGAATGTTTTTGTAGTGCAGTTTAGGATTTGTGGTTTTGGTCTGTTATCTTCATGAGAGTTGCCCTGATTCTTGTAGCTGCTTGTTCAATTAGTTCTTCTCTTACTATAGGAATGCAGCTAGAAATTAAGTATAATTTTCATTTCCTTGGTTATTTCTATTTGGATTTGATTATGTAATTTTTAGTAAGACCCGAGTGCGCCTGCTCCCTCACATAACTCAGACCATAAAGAAATGCCTGTTGCTTCCCTTTCACAGCAAACGTACAGAACCAAGGGAAATTGAAAACTTAGAAGAAAAGTATACCTAAAGTTCTCAAAAATCACTGGAGTGACAGACTTTTAACAAGTCTTGGACATTTTATGAGTGTTTTTGAACAGCTTACCTCAATTCATAAGTTGTTTCCAAAATGTAAATCAGTTCTTCATGTAGCATTTCACTTCTCATCCATTAGAACTCTTGATCATATGCCTGACTTTAACATAGAAACCAAGGGAAAGCAGATATGAGGGAGAAGAAAGGGGTCTGTGAGTGACAGTTTTTTTGAACTTTAAATTTAGTCATATGCTGAAATGCCTTGCTAAAGCCTGTAAGTGTATATTTGGGACTTTGCTGATTGGGTTAAAATGTTCAGCCTCTTAGTTACTGCATTAACTGTGAAAAACATAGGAAATGGCTCATTTGTGTATGCCAGGTCCCTTTCAAAGATTAGAGAAGGATTTCACTTTTTACCCCCCCCCCTCCTTTCCTCTCTTACTGTGTTTTGTTCTTTGTGCTACCTCAACTCCATCGCTCTGGTTGGAATCCAATCCCACTATACGGTTTGAACACATCTGTCGGCGAATCTAAAAGTTCTTCTGGTCAACTTGTGCGTTCTCCTACTCTAGCTCGTCTTAATCCCTCGGCCTCTTCGCCCAACTTTTTTAAATATCTAAGGCATAATTCAAGTGGAGAACAAAGTGGGCATTTTGCACAAAAGAGGTGAGCTAGCACCTGTACATAGTTTGGGGTAGGGTTTGTTTTACCATGTCATAAATATGAAGCTCTATAGTGTAAATAATTAAAATAATTTAATATAGACCAAAGATGGTAGATTTTTATGGGAGAGGGAACTCTTTAACTGCTGTGCTACTGAATGTAGAGCTGCTACTTATATAATTTTTTTGGTTTAATAAATAAGATTCTTTCAGACATATGGACACACGACTTTCTTCAGAGCCAGTTGCTTTGGAGCAACTTGTTGTTACGCAGCAGACAGCAGCACTGCTCAAATTGTGAGGGGTAAATTGCCAAGAACCTGTGATCCAGCTCATTCTGTCCCTCAAGAATCATTCAGTTCTTTTCTGTGTTACCATGAACAAAGCAGAAACATATTAATATTCTTTTGTGCCTGACATTAAAGGCAAATTGACTAAATGGGGCAAGAAATAGCAGGACTGTGGAGAGCTGATACAAAAAAACCCACAACCAACCAAAAACCACAGTCAAAAAAAGAAACACCATCCCCCACCACCCCCAAAACCAGAAACCAAGAACAAACAAACAAACAAAAAAACCCAACCCACCAGCTCATGTATTTGTCTTGGTTACTTTGGGCAATATCAAATGATACTTTTCTGTCCCAAAATTACAAAATTACATATAGAGAACATTGAGAAAAGGACATTAACCCATCATTTCGCTGAGAACCTGAAACAAGTAGCTCTCTAAAAATCTTGACCATGAAACTCCTTCTCAACTCCTTGAGCTAAAACTACTTATTTTAGCTCAAAAGGCTAACGAGACCAAATATCCTTGGAAGCGCTGTCAACAGTCACTGGCCATTGGCAAGCAATTTTTATTGCTGCTGTTTATTGTTCGGTTTTATTCTCTTGGGTGAAGGTTTCATGTTTCCCCAAGGTGCTGATTCTTCTCATCCTGAGAAAATACACAACTGTGAGAACCTTGTTTTACCAGTTCCTTCAGTTGTATTTGCTGAGTACTAGCTGGCATCTCTTTTAATTTAGCTTCACCTCAGAAGTATGGTATAGCTCAGGGGAGCAAATGTGAGTCTACAGTGTCCTTTTTGCTCTTCGTTTTAATAAGACTTACTTGAATCCTGAAGGTTAAGTTCTCAAAAGTAGTTTTTTTTCCAAGTAGATTTGATAATGATTCTGCATGCACAGTAGCGACTTCTCCTTCCATTTCCCTTTCGTTTAAGGGTATACCATATTGAATCTCTAAGCAACAAGACTGAAAACAGAAATTGATAGGGATATCAAATGGGTTAATGAGTTTAAATCAATAAAGTCAAACTGCCCGAGTTGATTGTATTCTGTAAGGGAAATTACGGTGTAATTGTGATGGATTTACAATCTGATTGTAAGTGAAACCTGTTTGTGGGGCACATTATTCTACAGCCTCATCTTCTTCATGCTCAGTACCAACCAGCTACTAAAGAACAGCTTCACTTCATACTAGTGATTATCCCAGAGCATCCCCCCCTCCTATTCACATCTTCAGGAGACAGCGCTAAATGCCATCCAGCTTTATCATTGTGGTTTATCAGAAGCAGTTCTTTCTTATGCTTAGTGTTTCAGGAGTAAATTCTCCTACTCACGTGTTTTTGTGTACTCTTCCGAGAAAAGATCTTCTAGTATCACTAGCCAAGTAATTTTCCATGTTTTCATTCACAGAATGATAGGGGTTGAAAGGGACCTTCGGAGATCATCTAGTCCAACTCTCCTGCGAAAGCAGGTTCACCTAGAGCAGGTTGCACAGGAATGCATCCAGGCGGGTTTTGAATATCTCCAGAGGAGACTCCACAGCCTCTCTGGGCAGTCTGTTCCAGGGCTCTGTCACCCTCTAAGTAAAGTTTTTCCTCATGTTCAGATGGAATTTCCTGTGTTCCAGTTTGTGCCCATTACCCCTTGTCCTGTCGCTGGGCACTACTGAAGAGTCTGGCCCCATCCTCTTGACGCCCGCCCTTTAGGTATTTATAAGCATTGATGAGATCACCTCTCAGTCTTCCCTTCTCCAGGCTAAACAGACACAGCTTTCTCAGCCTTTCCTCATAAGAGACGTTCTCCATTCCCTTGATCATCTTCATAGCCTTCCGCTGGACTTTCTCCAGTAGTTCCCTGTCTTTCTTGAACTGAGGATCCCAGTACTAGACATGGTACTCCAGATGTGGCCTCACCAGGGTGGAGTAGAGGGCGGGGATTACCTCCCTCGACTGGCTGGCCATGCTCTTTTTAATGCGCCCCAGGGTACCATCGGCCTTCTTGGCCACTTGGCCACACTTGCCCTTGTTTGAACTTCGTTAGGTTCCTCTCCTCCCAACACTGTAGCCTGTCTGGGTCTCACTGTATGGCAGCACAGCATTCTGGCGTGTCACCCACTCCTCCCAGTTTTGTGTCATCAGCAAACATGCTGAGGGTACGCTGTCCCCTAATCCAGGTCGTTGGTGAATATGTTGAACCATACTGGACCCCGCACTGACCTCTGGGGAGCGCTGCTGGTTACAAGCCTCCGACTGGACTCTGTGCCGCTGATCACAACCCTCTGAGCTCTGCAGAAACTTTTCGTTATCTGAGTTATTCTCACTTCCTTCTATTAACCTTCTTTTGAGTATGTTGGGGACTTGTTATTTTAAAAGAAAGAGCAGAATTATGTTGGCCAGAAGACTGTTGATGAAATTTGATTAGTGCTCCTGTCTGTTGCGTAAATAGAGCCACAATCCTAAATGATCATTCAGAAGGTTCAGCTTTTAACTTACAAGTTCCAAGTTTGTCTGAATATAACTCTGTTAATGCTTTACAAAATGTATTTTGTCGAAGTCTTATTTTTCATTTGCCAGCACAATGACGATCAGTGTCAGCTTTTCCTAACTTTTTCCCACAAACTTAGTAAATCATTGAAACTGGTATTTAAGTAAATGTGCAATGATAAAGTTGGCATCAGTTCTTTTTAGGTTAAAGGAATTTACTTGAAATGTGCACTAAAAAATCTTGGGATATTGCAAAGAATAATAACTTTACTGGAAGTACATTTATTTATATTGGAACATTTTAGTTTGCCCAAACAAGTATGTATTTCAAAGTAGCACTTTGTTAGCAGTTTCAGTTTTGACTTTGGTTTCCTTGATATTCAGGCCTTCAGGATTTAGCTGCTTTTTGTTTGAAACTTAGCAGTATGTATTATTTTTATTCTGTGGATTTATGCTTCTTTGTTCTAAACTATACTTTTCCCAACTGCACTCTCAGCATCTCCTACCGTACTGCCTTAAGGAAAAAGCTTCATTCTTCCTCTTCTGTGCCAAATTTCTTAAAATTTCTGGCTCCTGTAGATGAAAATAACACCTCTGACTTTAGGAGCACAACAAGGTAGGGTTCTCTCTTAAAGCCTGGAGGTAAAACTGTATTTTCAAAGGTTTCTTTGTAATATTTCAAATGCTTCTTGCACTTGCGCAAAACCTGATTTGTGCAACAGTTCACTTGCATGTATTCTGCATGTGATTGCTGTCAAAAGGATGGAGCTGTCCCAGACTCCTCTCCCATTAAGACTGCAGAACTTAGCTGTTTTGCTGTTGTAATGGTCATGCAGCTTCCATCTATGTACTTCTGTGATTATTCCTGCCAAAGGACTGTATTAGCAGTTTCCAGTTAAGAGAATATACATGGTTCATCCTAAGCAATGTCTGTGTTCTCAAATTGGAAGGAGAGGATTGCCTGTAAAATGCTCCTCCTGGTTGCTCCCAGAGCTATTTGAAGTTCCTTTATCCCTTTCAGATTCAACAAAGACTCATGCGACCATTTAGCTGGAATGGCTGGAATAAAGCAATGAATAGTTTAAAGATGTAACGGGTGAAAGTTATTAGTGGGATTTCTAATAGGAAAACAGCATTGCTGTTCACTATTTCATTTAATATTCTGAATAAAAACCTCTGTATGTAGTTTGTGAATTACATCAAAGGAGTAACATCCAAGGTTCCTGGACACTGTTCCCAAATTTGTTGCTTATTTCAGATGGTGACTTGCGAACACAAAGGTTAAAAGTTTTGCTCCAAGGCTGTGCTGGGAAATATATTACATACCCAGTTCACAGAAGGTTGGAAGTTTAATTGGTGTTTATAAAGCTCCTTGATGTGTGTTTATAAAAGTTCTTTGTGTCTCCTATGAATAATTGCTAGATTTCGTGGATGGCATTTAAATAGAAGAATGATGTAGATACGTTATAGCGTGTATGTCTTTAATATGTTGTGTGTAATACACTGGCTGCAAAGAAAGCTGAAATTCAGTTAAAACTGGAGACAGCAGATTGCACAGAGCTGCCAGCCCCTTTTGGTGAGCCTAAGGGATGTTTGCAGCCGTGTATAAGCCTGCTGCCACAAAGCAAGCTTCACCTACCTAGCACTAAGAGCTTGACCCAGCATGTGCCGAGCACGCTGCAGTCCTTAGCTGATGGTTCGTGTTACTGTTTTCACTGAAGACTGTCGCTGTTAGTAGCAGATTCAGGTAGCCCGCTCACAAGCCATTCTGTGTTCCGCAATTTTAGCGACTACGAATCCAAACACAGCCAGCAGGCCATTGGTGCAGACAGCCCTGTAAGGACTCGACGGCATTCATGGAGGCAACAGATCTTCCTGCGAGTGGCAACCCCTCAGAAAGCGTGTGATTCTCCCAGCCGATATGATGGTAAAGTCTGTCTTTATTTGCTCCCGTTAATGTTGTTAGTTGATGTAGTCTGTGAAGTGTGGATCATTTTGTCTACTGAGTGGACATATTTACCGAGTGCTGTGTTTGTACTGTCTTTGCAGTTTCCCACCTACTTTTTGGTCATGCCAAGTTCATTAGCTGTTGAGTTTTTATTTTTCAGCTCCGTAAGTAACATGGTTCCGACTTTGTCAAATTAACTAACCAAAGAAAAATTTATTTTCATGTGTACTATTTTAATGAGTTCTGGGAAAAAAATGTATCACCAAGTACTGCTCTGAAGAAAAGGTGATACTTCTATTTCATCTTTCCATGCCTGGAGTATAGAACTATGGACTAGAAAAATCCAGGCCTGCAGAAGGAATTTCTTTTATGACCTCAGTTGTGTTCTGTAGTGTGTACTTCATACCAGACTGAATTTACCTCATGTATGCTGCTCCAGTTTGTGATTCTTTGCCACTTGAGACACAGCGATCGACTGTTCTCATATGTATTTCCTGAAATTCTGTAGAGCTAAAGATCACAGACTAGGAAAAAATCACTGCACGTGAGCATGCAGGTGCATCATTTTATGCATCTCGCTTTATGTGAGGCAGATAGTGCAGCACATGCTGAGGCCAAGAATGCCTCAGAGAAGCTTGTCTGTAGATAATGGTGTCTGGCTAACTAAAGTTTGAATTTCACAGCTTCAGCTCTGCAGGCTGTACCTTCGGACTGATCTCTAAGGCCATTGTATAAGAAATAAGAAAAAGTATAAGCAAACAGAAGGGAACAGTACGTTATAGTAAATGTAGTAAAAAGTATTCATCCTAATGTTACTGAGACATTTTTCTTGCATCTCGAAGACAGACCTGGATTAACTGGATACCACACGTAACAAAAGTGTTTCTGTCATTAATGCATTGCTTGCAATGTAATTTGACTGATGATGGGGTAATCTGTATATGGGCATAGATGCCTCTCAAATTTAGTGTACTTAGAACCAAAGTGATCTCAAGAGCCTGTTGTGTAAACATACATGTGAAATACTCTCCTATGCTTAAAGGCATATGAAGAAGCTGTTCAATCTCAGCTGTTTTGCGAAGCTACTCTTTTTGCAGGTTTGATGCATCTTTTTCTGACTGGAAATAGTCTGTCTTGTTTTGGAAAGCCACAAAACCTTCCCATATTAAATAGGGAAAAACAACCCCTAAATTGCCTATCCAAGCATTTCCTCTGAGACATAATAGCAGCAAGATACAATCTTAACAACCTACAGCTGGATAAGCAGAATAGTTGGAGAAACAAGTGTGGCCAAAATGGAAAACAGGAAGAGCTATTAATAGGAGGAGCATTTTAAAATATCTGGCCTTTTTCTTCACTCTTGTTTTCTTTTTCTGTTTTTGTTCCAATGTACATATTCAATTTATGAACAGAGGGAGAAAACGCTGAGTTAGGTTTTGGGTATTTTATTATTTATAACAAGTATTGGATTTTTTCATTTGGATTTTCATGCATCTCCTGGATCATTTCTGGCAGTAAAGGATACTCACTTGTGATGCAGTACCTGTAGCCTTTAAGAGAGCTGCTGTACGTGATCTTACATTGGACTCACCACCACAGTTATCTTGGGAACCTCTGTAGTTTCAAAGTAAATGTAACTAGCTATCATTCATCATCTTGTTCCTCTTTTTTTTCGTCTTCTCTCAAGGAGAAGCAGCACATGCAGTGGGGTTTATTGATTTGATAAGTTACCTGTACTTCCTTGTTTTGGGGGGTTATTTTTGAGGTTTTTTGTTTGTTTGTTTGTTTTAAAGGCTTTCTCACTCTTTTTAGACTGATTTCCTTTGGAAACACAATTCATGCAAACAGCTGATGTATCACCAAAAGATCAATGTCAGCCAAATTATCCAGAGGGCAAAGAAGGTTTTAAAGATAACATGTTTTGTTGTGTCCTGCAGAAGTAAGCATGAAGAGAGGGAAACAAGGGAACATGTGAATTTATGAGTTTCCCTTTATAGATTGTGACTCCACTGACCAATTTCTCCATTCAGGTGCAACAGCCCACACACCGCTCCAGAGTACTCTGCCGGACAGCAGTAAGAAAAAAGGCTAGGGATTTTCTTAAAAGCTAGTACGACAGCAAACCAAGGGACCCAGATCTCTGTGAGTCAGAGATGATAAAGTTTATCAAGCTTAGCATAGGCTGCTTTACTAAGCTGCTTTACTAAACTTCATATTAAACATAAAATCCACCAGTAAGCCTGAACTACACGTTGCTTTAACCACATATGGGCAGGCACTGTCAGCAAAATGAAATTTCTTTGGGTGTAACTTCTTTGGGTGGTAATCAGTAAATATGCATGTATAAGATGTCACAAGAAATAGAGACAACCTTAAGCTTTATACGCTCAGAAAGATCTAGATCCTGACACTTGTGATTCCATTTGTATAGGCAAGTGGTGAGCTGAGTCTCAAGATGCATCATGTTCATTGCCACTCTGTGTGGTTAACACATCAGGATATGAAGGTATATTTACTAAAAGTTTTTAAACAAACAAACAAAAAACAACAAAAAACCCCACAGACAACTGGTACATAGCTTTTGCAGAAATTTCAAGCATAATCTTATGAGGTTCTGACATTGAGAGATGTGTAGTGTCCAGAGTTCCCACATGAAGCTGACAGCACTTTGAGTCCCACTGTCTCGCACTTCTGTATCCTTTACTTCTTTAGGAGGTGCTTATAAGTAGTTTGAGCTAAACCTTCATTTCCTGTAGCACAGCTCGAGAGAAGTGATTGCTGGCTGTGCTTTGGTGGTTGCATCTTGTATTACTAGGCTGAGAGCACGCTGTTTGTTTTGCAGACACCATTTGCCTTATATACAAAGGACAATGTTCATTTCTTACTAGTTCAGGAGTAAAATGAAAAACAGTCCTAAATTGATAGAGTTAATAAAATTATATTGCAAATAGATACACTGGAAAGCTATATTTTTCTCTTGCCAGTTGAGATTCCTGCCTTGCCTGACGACTGGCCTCAATCCAGCCACGCTCAGGCAAGGTGCACGCTCTGAGACAGCAGAAAGCCTCGGGTACAGGACACCATTGCTTTTGGTTGGTATGGGAGCAATGTCCCACGTGCAGGACCTCCTGCTTGTGGGTGCTGCTGCTTTCCCCTTTTCCCCTACTTCTGTACGTAACTTTACGATGAAGCACATCAGAGGAGCATTATGCAGTTTGCTGCCTGGCAGGACAGCCAGGTGAGTTCTGGGGAGCCTGAAGATGAGGCTGGTCTCCAGTTTGGGGATCTAGAAAAGACTTTCTGCATGGGTGAAATAATCTGTAGAGATTTTTATTGCTTTCCAGCTGGTAGCTGGAGGTTTGCAGGGCTGAATTATGCTAGTTCTATTGTAGCAAGCTACAGTTCAAATGTCCAACCTCATCTCCTGCTGTTTGCTACTTCTCAAGGAGTATTTGTGCTGCTGTGGGTGGTGTGGAGCACTGGGGGCAGCATTTCTCTCACTGCCACCTTGAGACACACTCAGTGTCTTGTCCTCTGATATTTGTCTTTTTTATTTATTTGTGGGGGTCGAATGAGTGTTGTATCCTGCAAAGTGGAGAGATGGAAAAAGAGGAGCACAGGTCACTTACAGAATGGATCACACTTGGGTCTGTTTCAACACTGTATTTCTTTTGAAAGAAGGCTTTCATTAATCTCTTTTTGTAAACTTTTTTTGGCCTGTTTTCTATATATGAGCACACAAAATTCACTCTGGCTCTCCCACTCACTGTCTTAAACATTCAAAGTAATAAAAGTATTTCTTCAGTTCTTCGATGTTTACCTTTATACCTGCCCACCCTAGTTGCAGCCACATCGTCATACTTTTGTAGAGTCTCTCTAACAAGAGCCACATTCTATGGCCATGCGAATGATTTAGAACTGGTAGGAAGGTGAAGGGAACAACTTGGTGATCATTTTAAACCAGTCGAAGAATGGGATCACTCAAAAAAGGGTGACTGATTTTTCAGTTGGATCAGTTTTCTGGTCCCACTCGCGGTATTAGACCAGCACAAGAGCAGGCACAGGGAGGCAGGCAGGGACATGTGTCTGGAAGCTTAGATCAGTGCAGAGCGATCGTGAAACTTCACCTTGCACTGCAGTGCAGCAGGATTTGCATACGTTTATTCAGCATCTGCAAATGTCTGTGCCGTGGACTATTTTCATTACAATTTTCACATATTGACTGTTCAGAATTGGTCATAGTGGGAGAACTGTTTTGCAGGTTGACAGAAACTCCCAGCAGAGTAAAGTCAAGTGCTAGATTTAAAGGGTGTGAATAGGTTTCTGAAGTAAATGGTGGGAAAGTGATGGTACTTGTCATGAGCTTTCTTGCTGCAGAAGGTGTATTGGCAGTAGACAGCAAAATTTTTGTAACAGCTGTGTCAGTTTTCGGTTGGAGAATGGATGATTTGTTTTAAGGTGGGCAGTGGGGTGGAGTTACATGTTGAACAGTGAAAGAAATTGCAATTCGGAGGAATGAGATGCTTGGTATTGCTTAGCAGTACTCAGAAAATAAATTCGGATGAAAAAACCAACTTTAGCCAGAACAACTACATAGTATTTTGCAACTTGACTTGCAGAAAAAGATTCTTTTAGAAAGTACAAGTATCTCTGTATAGGGGAAAAAAAACCCAACTCGATTCTTCTATTATCATTAATTGCGTTTCAGTCTCTGGCAGACAGAGGTAGCAAACTGTTAAATCCTAAGTGCAGAAGAAAAGTCTGGATTTGAAGACTTGTTATTCTTAAAACCAGTTGTAGTTAGCGCCTGCCTGTCTGCTTTGTGGTGAGGGTTATATCTCTTCCATTATTTAATCAAAAATATTTTTTAAATCATTTTGTAGTAGTGTTGCAAATACTGTAAGATCCTGCTTTAGCATTCTATAATTAAAATGTTTATGTGGTGTAAATTATTTGTAATGCGTCCTCCAATACTGTTT